CACCCCCTGCTGTTCCCAACTCCTGCAATTTCTCCAGCTTCAGCCCAAACCCCACCACCCACACAAGGCCTCCAATCTGCCCGCTCACTCCCTCCCCTGAGTACCTCCTGTCCCCAGACACAGATGTCCTGGAATTGTTAGAGATCTTCCAGGGGTTCATGAACCTTCTCTGCCCTGACAGCTTGTGAATTTCCTGGGATGGGTGGGAGTTTGGGGCTTCGAGTGTGCCCTGTGCAGGGCCTGGCACAGAGGATGTCTTGGTGTGCTCTGCGCCAAGCTCTCCTGCCCTTGTAGACCTGCCCTCCTCCACTCCCTCCTCCCTCCCCTCTACTTCCCCACAACCCCTCCCACTAGGCCTTCCTGCCCACCAACACAAGGGTCCTCGCAAGACTTTCTTGCCCCTTCCTACTATGGGGCGGATGTACAGGCCGTGTGGGGCCGGCGGCAGGTGTTCTCATGCCCTGTCACGTCATCGTTGCCTCGGGAAAGTGTGCGGAAGATTAGCCAGGGTTGTCACTTCAGGGGGAGCTGCAGTGGCTTTAGGAGGAGGGCTGGGACCCTGTGGTACCTTCATGTGGAGTTTGGGGAGAGAGGCGCTTCTTTCTGGCACATGCATATGTACAGCCAGGCCAGGAGCAGCCCTGTCCACTTAGGTGGGGGGCCAGACCCCACCGCTTGGCTGGCCCCTCATTTCAGTGGGTGCCTTGGACACATCAGGAGAGGACACAGAGAGATCTGAGGCCTGAGATAAGTAACTCCAGGGGCCACTTCCCCAAAGCGAAAGCACTCGAAGGCTCGAAGGCTCGCGGCCGTCACCACATCAGCCACATCCAGCCGGACTCCGGGCTGGGGGAGGGGTGGGCAGTCCCATCTCTAGACCCAGAGCCCCAGAGCTGGGACAAGAGCCACCGGGTCATTTTAGTCACCTCCTTACATATCCCTAACGGTGACCCCGCACAAGGCTCAGGCCCCTTTCTGCAGATGAGGAGACAGGCCGGGAAAGGAGGGGCCGTCAGGATGAGAACCCAAGCCAAGCTGACACCAAGCCTGGTTCCTCCTGGCCTGGCGCTGCCGGCCCAGCAGGCCACGAGCTGCGCACACGCTGTTCTTGGTGCGGGGCGTGTCCAGGCCCAAGCTCCACAAGGACCTTCTGGTACACAGCCCCGACTCGCCTCCAGCGGCCGCGGCCACCAGAAGCCAGCCACTGGCGTGCACGGTAGACTCCAATGGGCATTAGAGGCAAAGCTACTGCGTGACACGTGTGTTTCCTTGACTATTCAAGGCTGAATGAGTTGGAGTAAAGAAAAACAATGCAGTACCTGTTGAGTGGATTAAACTATTCACACCCCCTCACAGGCCGTCACCAGGAGAGCTGCGCAGGGCTAAGGCCCGCGATGAGGAGGGCCTCTGAGCTCCAGGCAGGCTCCACTTCACCTGGAGAGTGGGGACATGGGGGTGTGCATGCTGTGATCACTCATTGGCATGTGCGCTTGAGGGGGGGTTGGATTTGTGTGCACTTTTTGGTGTGTACGTCAATCAGCCATAAAGTTTACTTTTTAAGGGATTGTGCTAAGCGAAACGAGCCAGAAGGAAAAAGATAAATACTGGATGGTGCCACTTGTATGTGGAATACAGAGAAATCAAACAAAGGGTCAGAGACAAACTTTAAAACCAACCCGGAAAGCTGACCACAGACCTGAGGCATCAAGGAGGGGAGGGGGAGAGGGAAATCGTGGGGGAGGTGTGAGAATTGGAGAAAGGGGAGGAGACTATAAGATTACGGGTGCTTTGGTGGCGGAAGATCTATGGTGGCCCCACCTGAAGGGGTTAATCCTATCATTTTTAAAAAAGATTTATTTATTTATACAAGAACTGGGGTACAGGTCAGAAGTGCAGGAAGGTGAGAGACTTCACCAGCCAGAGCAGGGAACAGAACAGGCAGACGACCGAAGACTGCTGAGGGGAGCAGCGGGTGAAGCAGGAGAGGTCTGCTGGGCCATGTGGGGTTCTCCCTGGCCAGCGGGGAATCGAACCGGCACTGCAGAGGCTGCAGACAGCTTCGCAGCGCGGCGCTCAACCGCCGTGCCATTGGGGAGGCCCGGCAAATCCTAACTTTTCAAAATATAAATAAGGGTGTAAAACATTGGTACTTAACTAATAAAATTTTTTTCAATTTATGTGGCTTTGCCACAGGAAAAAAATAGTAACAATAACAAAGATAATACCTATATAGCACTTATTATGCACCGCGAATATTTCTAAGCACAATTTTATAAGCCAATTTGGTCTTCACAATAATCTATGAGGTAGCTGCACAATTAGTACCATATTTTTACAGAAATTAAAACTTAGACACATAAATCAACTTGCACACAAGGTCACACAACTAATAAGTTATAGAATTGAGAGTTGAATCCAAGTGACCTGGCTTCAGATACTAGTCACTCTGCTGTATGATATATAATACTGAACATTGAAGTCTTTGTTATAAATTATTATGTACCCCAAAATGGAATTTTATTGTATCTATATATTTCAATATATTCCCCAGGAATACTAAAATTCTAACAAGGTTCAACAACTCTTCAACAGTCTTCAACTCCTCCCAGCCTTATGAATAATCCAATTTTTAAAGAAAAATCACAGTAAGAACTAAGGTAAAATTTATTTTTTTAAAGATTTATTTATTTATATATACAAGAGCTAGGGTACAGGCCAGAGGTTTGACGGGTGAGCGGATCCCCCAGAGACCAAGTGGGGAACAACAGGCAGACGGACTGAAATACACTGCTGAGGGGAGCAGCAGGCAAGACAAGAGGTCTGCCCTGCTATGTGGGTATCTCCATGGCCAGCCGGGGAATCGAACTCATGCTGCAGAGGCTGCGGATTGCTTCATGATGTGTGTTTAACCCCTTGCGCCACCAGGAAGCCCCTAAAATTCTATTTTTTAATCACACTTGGTCCCTAAGCCCCAGTACAGGTCTCTGGTATGTGGGCTGAAACTGAAAGCATACCCTCAAGTCTAAAGGGCCTTTACACTAGCCTAAGGCTAAATCAAATTAACCTCCATTCCACCACAAGCAATGGGAGAGATGATGGCCTCAAACTACACTCTTGAAAAGTAGTAAAAGAAAGAGAAATATAAAAAGCCAACCCTGATACCAAAAAGATGGCTATCACTCACAGTAAGACCACACTATTCTCCTACTGAACATAAACCATCTCATAGGATACAAACCTTAGACAAGGTTTGTTACTCTGGGACTCAATAAAATGAGAAAGAAAAGCTGCTGAATTTTGTCTTAGCTCAGTGAAGGTCACTGTGCCACCCACAAAAAAAACAAACATCCCTGCCATTCTAGCTGACTGGTTATACCCTCTTTACCAGTTAGTCATCCTTATTCTAGTCTCTCCTGCCTATAAATAAGATTTATTAAATAACCAATCACAAAATTGTTCCCACTTTCTGCTACCATTCAACATAAATTCTCACTTCCTTTGATTCTCCACCAAATTACACAAGCAAAGCCTAAATCCTTTGTTCTATGGAACTGCCACTTCCTGATAACATACCACGTGAGTTCCACGGTGCACGTTCTCCCTCTTGGTGATGATGTATAAATCAAACTTGTTCAACTATGTGTATGTCCCTGGTGGTCTTTGGCTGGAGGCCATTGACATGAGACACATCAGAGAGGCCTGGCCTGCCCTTACAGAAAACCCAGAAAGTAGCTTTACTCTTCTATTCTATGGAGGCAAAAGAAAGGGCAGAAAGGACTTCAAGATGCCTTATTCTCTTCCAGGAACATCAAACAGATGTTCCTGACATTTTAATGCACACCAACAGTACCCACAATTAGAAAGAGTCTAATCTGTGAATCTGAGGGAGGGGGGAGTGTCTAATGGGAGTCAGCAATTTATAGAAGATTGACAATGGTGAAAAGTGTTTTTTAAAAGCCTGAAATTACCAACTATACAGAAAATATTTCCTGATTTAAGTTGTCTCTATTTCTCCATATTCTATCAACTGTTGCACCCCAAGAAAAAAAAAGCAAATGAATATCTACCATTATTCCTGGAAGAAAGATATGACATCAGATGAGGTTTCTCTCCAGAGAGGATGAGAAAAGAAAAAGTCCATACCTTCCTCCCCTGCTGATTGTAAGAGTTTAAAAAAAAAAAAAAAAAAAAAAAAAACAGGCAGTGTTATAAACTTACTTCTCTGGGTCAAAATCTGAAGGAGGAGGAATCTTGAATTGTGGAAGAATACATCATAACAAGAGGAATTTTAATTCTGCAAGATCACATCACAACCACCTGGGATGGAAGTGTGGGCAGGCAGCAAGGACAAGCAGTTAGCACTTCCTAGCCACTCTCCACTCTCATGTGGCATGGAAAGGTGCAGGAAGTTCCCGCTTGCCAAAGAGGAAAGTCAAAATTTGGAGTTTCCATACATGAGGAATGCAAATTCAGCTCTAGAACAAAGTCAGCTCTTTGACCAATGAAACCCATTTTCCCTAGTCAGTATACACCCCCCCATTACATAAAGTACTCTAAGCCCCTATATATCCTGATGATACTGTAAAAGTATAGGTAAATCTAAAATATAGACTAACGCACAGAGGTCATTTCTTTATACTGAGTGTTTAAATTATTAAAGGAGTTTGCTGGATTAAGATTGATATTTTTGTTTCTTTTGCAATCCTGGCAAGTGATGGTGGACTCATGATTAATATTATATCAGTTATCAAAAGTAAAAGAAAATATACTTTCTTTGTACATGTAAATATAGTGTTAGTAAATGTTCACGCATATATAAACACAGAAAAAGAACAGTAGAAAATAAAACATTAACAGTGCTTACGTTTGGGGAGTAGGTATATGGACTTGGGTTTTAATTAATTAATGTATTTTTTAGTGTTTTTCAAATGTCATCCAGTGAACATACTACTTTTATAACAGAAAAAATGATCAGTTTTAAAATATGAAACACTCTGAAATTTTTATTCATTTTATTTTGCAGTGAAAGAACATGAAAAATCTTTTCAAATTAGTAAGGTGATCACTTCCAGCGAATGATTAAATGTATTATAGGAAAAAGGAATTACACACTGTAATTACAGTTTACACAATTACATAGAACAATACATGACAATTTTTAAAATATTGTGATTAACACTTCACTAACAAACAATAATCTTAATACTACTGGTTTCATATTTATCATGGTTACATAAAATACAACAGCCTATGAACAGGCTATTATTAACAATAAATATGGTTTTGCTTGAAATCTTAATCATTTGCAAACTTCTTAAGCATTCAAGTTTTAAATTGTACTGAATTTTTGTTGTAAAATAAAGCAAGCACAAGAAAAATCAAACCCACTAGCTAAAGGACTAAGAAAACACAAACACCAAATATCAGCAGCAAAAAACCATGGTTGGTTCGTCAAGATTTTCTTTCCAAATAAATATTTATCTCACTTAAGAGTTCTGGTAATGTTCACAGTCACAGATTAATAACTACATGACAAAAAGGCTTTAGGAGGATTAAACTACACAACACTACACAACACTACACAATTATGCCTTAAATCATTTACCACAGTCTACATTTCTTGAAAGCATTCTACTACTAAAATGCAAGGTAAAATGAATGAGTATTTGAACTTCTCTTATATTTCTGAGACATGTTTTAACTGACACAAGAAAAATTCAGAACACAACATCGTAATTAACTTCTTATATCTTGAGTAACTAGATCTGAGACAGTTAATTTCAGGTTCACATACATTCTGCTTCAGCGGTCAATGTCCTCTACAATTGCTTCAAGATTTCTGCAACAGGCTTTAACCTCCTCAATTGCAGCCATCCAATTATCATAAATAATTTTGTCATAAATTGCATCATTAACTTCCCTAACTACGCCCTCCTGCTGAGATTCAAGTGCATCGCCTGAAAAGAACAATACTGATCTCGGGATTATGTAAGTACGTAAATTATGAGCAAGCAAAAAATCATCGTTTTCATCCTTTCCATTTGAGCTGATTCCATGAGGAGTGAAGAAATTGAAGAATGAATCCTTGGGGAAATCTTCAGTCACAGTTCGGACTGTTCCCCAGATCCGGTGTTTCTGCTTCTTCTTTATGGTTTTCAAAGTGACATTCTTTCCTTCATTCCAATCTATCTCACAGCCTGTACAATACTCAATGGCAGTTCCCCTATAGGGATGCGGGTCATAGTATGCCAGCCTGGACTTCAGCACATAGGTCTTCGTCAACAGCTCGTTTTTGAAATACTCATTGGGTTTGAAGTGAAATTCTAGTGTGAAACTAAGAGGCTCACCAGGATCTGAAAGCTTTACTTTAATATCAGTCAGGAGCTTCAGAATAGGCTCATCATATTTCTTAATTAAAGGAGTGAGAGTGTCAACATTTTTTAATACAGTCAGCCAAAAATCAGGAATTCCTTTAGGATCCTCTTCTTTATTCTCTTCTGCGCTAGCGTCTGTGTCATCGTCGTCGTCGTCGTCGTCACTGTCGCTGTCGCTGTCGTCCTCATCATCCCCCTCTTCTTCAGTGGCATAATCATAATAATCTTCCTCATAACCATCATTTTCGTCCGTGAACTCCTGCACCAGACCCTCTTCATCACCGCACATCTCTTCCTCGTCGTACATCTCTTCATCATCGTAGTCTTCAGAATCTGATTTATATTCACATTCCTCTTTCGTAGGTTCATAGATTGCATTAATGATCTGGCGTCTTTTTTCCAATAAAGGCTGATACATTTCAGCAAACTTTCTTTCAATGCCATGAAATTCCCTCAGGAATTTGGATTCTAGATTCGCAGCTCGAGTCTGAAGCTTTTTGAGGGCCAACACACGGTACTTAACTTTCACAGGGAGACTTTCAACAAAGTCTGTATCTAAAAGATAACCGATAAGTCCCTTTGGACGGTCTGGGTCTGAGTCCTCGGCAGTCACTTCACCGTTTTCCCCGCCTTCCGCCGAACCCGCAGCGGCAGCAGCATCCACTCCTTGCTCTTCCCGGGCTCAGCAGCTGCTTCTTCACCGCGCCCCCCATCATCTCCCGGCCCAGCCGCGGCATCTTCGCCGCGCTCCGGCTGCTGCTCCAACCCCTCCATCATTACCTTATCACAAGCCTCTTCTTGGCTGGATTCTAACAGTTCCTTGTGGTTGGCTGACTCGGCCATTTTTCAAAGGACCGCACACGCCTAAGGTGGCTGCCACCAAGATCAGCAGACCCGATCCCCGCGGGGGAAGACTCACCGGAATATCAGAAGCGGCGGTGGCGGGGCAGACTCGGAACCAGCGGCGGCTGCTGGACGGCCTGAGCGATGGTCGGGGAGGCTGCGGGGCTGAGCGCGGGGCTGAGCGCGCTCCTGAGGCTGTGAGAACCAGGGGAGACAGCGGTCTGGGCTGCGGTGCAGAGGGCGGCGATGGCTGCCGTGACCAGTGCTGCGGGAGGCGGCCAGACTGCAGAGCGCCGCAGTGGGCAGACCCCCTCTTCCTCACGCAGCAGCTGGGAGGAAAAAAAAGTGCCGCAATACGATTACACAGCAGTCTCTCCGCTAGATCTTCTTGGTGCAATGAGCTTGTTGCGTCACTCCCTCCCTCCTACTCTAATCTCATTTGCTAGGATATGCTGATTGACAGAGCCTGAGCCAATAAATTATTACATCTATCAAGTTCCCAACTCTGCGCACCTTCCTAGGTTCTCTAATATGGCTGATTCACCCACCTCCTCCTCCTCCGCACACCCCGTCTCCGAGTTTTCTAGAAATCCGGATTTTACTCGTTTAGCCTTTCAATTTTCAACTGATACTGTACTTGTATAATTTTAAAAGAGCTGAGAGAAAATAATAACTAAAATGTCAGACAAGGGGAGAAGACAAGTCTCTCACCCTCTGAAATACGTCCCTTTGATTCTAGCCCTGGGCTCGGGGGAGGGGAGTGGTGGGTGATGGAGGAACTCGAGAGACTAGAAGGAAAAAAAAACACTAAAAATTTAGCAGTGTTGGTCTGAAGGTGGTATGACTGGCAGTTATTCTATATTCTACTTTTCTGTATTTTCCACAAAGTCTATGATAAGTGAGCAGTAACATTTCCTGGGGTAGGAGCGGTGCTGGTTAGGTGAGGGTTACAGTGAAAGAGCCAGTGATGAAGAACCCAAATGCTGTATCCTACTGTATGACAAGTGAACACGCAGACAGTAAATCAGGTGTGTGACTTAGCAATAATTCAATCCTAATACTGACTTGCCGCTTCTTTCTTGATGCTGGCTTTAAAGCCATAGGCAATTTTTAAAAGAAATGCTCAAATGTAAAGAAACACTTCTTTTAAAAAATCAAGACATTTGCCTGACATTTTTAAGTTATTGAAAGTAATGTAAATTTCAACATTAAAATGTGCCTAACTAGATGGTAAGTATTCATAACATGGGATACTCTGCAGTTACTAAAATTGGTGACATTTATTTTGTCCAGTGTTCCAATGTTGATCATGTATTAATTGAACATTTTTAAAAATTTTGACTTATTTTCCAAATGTAAATAGTAATTTGTATTGTGTTACTATATGGGAGAAAACAGTGTACATTATATTGTGTTTCTTTACAGATTCTTTCAGTATGTAGCTTTTCTTTTTACTTATTTTACTTTTGTGTACTTAAGCTCTGAAAGCAATTTAACCCTTCAGAATGTTTCAATCCTTACCTCTGTTGCACCAATGCTGATTTCTAATCTAATAGGACTTAATCTATTTTGTAAGATACCAAGTGAGCAATGAGATGCTCAACAAATATACTTGTTAGGGAAATAAAAAATATGATAAGATATGTCTTCATACTCATTAAGATGTTTACTACCCCAAAAAAGGACAAAAATACATTTTGGTGATAACTTGGAGAAACTGCAACATGTATACATTGCTGTTGGGAATGTAAAATTATGCACCCACCATGGATAACAGTTTGACCTTTTCTTGAAAAGTTGCACATAGAATTACTATGTGATCCATCAGTTCCACTATTATGTAGATACATAAAGAATTGAAAACAGAGACTCAAACATGCTTGCACAACAAATTTTATACCAGCATTATTCACAGTACTCAAAGTTACAACACCCCAATGTCCACCAACAGAGGAATGAGTACACAAAAAATCACATGCACACACACAGACACACACAAATATTATTCAGTCATAAAAGGGAATGAAGGGGCCTCCCCGGTGGCGCAGCGGTTGAGCGCTGGGTTGCGAAGCTGCCCGCAGCCTCTGCAGCGCCGGTTCGATCCCCGGCTGCTCCCCGGCCACCAGAGGAGGGTCCCACATGGCGCGCAGACCTCTCCTGCCGCCCGCTGCTCCCCTCAGCAGTGTGCTTCGGTCCTTCTGCCTGCTCTGCTCCCCGCTCTGGCTCTGGTGAATTCTCTCACCCTCCCGCGCTTCTGACTGTACCCAGTGCATGTATAAACAAAACAAAGAAAGAAAGAAAGAAAACATGCCTCTCTATTAAAAAAAAAAAATTAAAAAAAAAAAATAAAAGGGAATGAAGTTTTGGTACATACAACATGGATGAACTTTGAAAATATTGTGCTAAGTGAAATAAGCCACATTAAAAGGACAAATATTGTATGATTTCACTTATATTAGGTACCTAAAATAGAAAAATTCATGGAGATACAAAGTATAACAGAGGTTACCAGAGCCTGCAGGAAATGAGGAATGAAGAGTTGAAGAAGTTCTGGAGTTTGATATTGGTGATGTTTGAACAACATTGTCAATGTACGAAATGCAGCTCAGTTGTACACTTACAAATGGTTAAAATGGTATGATTCAATGCAATAAAAATACAACTATAGTACCTTTTATAATAACACCAATGATGATAAAAATATAAAGATAAATTTAACAAAAGAAGTACAAGGTTTATTCACGAAAAATTGTAAATCATTACTGAGGGTAATCAAAAAATATATAAATAAGTGGAGAGAATTTCTTGTTCATGAATTGGTATTAAGATACCAATGATCTATAGATTCAAGGGACATCTTTTCAGAATTCCAGGAACCTTTTGCAGAAAATGACAAGCTTATATTAAAATTCAAATGAAAATATAAAAGACTAAGAATAGTCAAAACTACTTTGAAAAGGGAAGAAAAATATGAAGGACTCAGAGGAGACTGAGGAAGGAAGGAAGCAGGATGGAGAGCCAGAAGGAGACCTGGAGGAGGCACATGGAGCAGAGAGACAAGTGAAGAATCTACACTTGCCTTTTGGTCGTGGACTGGTTGACACAGATGTGGGTGAGAGAACCATGGGCAGTTGAAGGTTAAGATTCCATCCCTCACCATAAATGCAAAGAATAATGAAATGAGCCTCCCTGGTGGCGCAAGGGGTTGGGCACCGCACTATGAGGCAATCCGCAGCCTCTGCAGCACGAGTTCGATCCCCAGCCAGCCAGGGAGCTACCCACATGGCTCAGCAGACCTCTCCTGTCTCACCTGCTGCTCCTCTCAGCAGTGTATTTTGGTCAGACTGCCTGTTCTGTTCCCCTCTCTGTCTCTGGTGGATCCTCTTACCCTCTGCATCTCTGGCCTGTACCCCAGCTCTTGTATGCATAAATAAATATATCTTTTTTAAAAATATGAAGGACTTTTACTTCCTAATAAAAAAACTTACTATAATGCTACAGTGGTAAAGACAGTATGGTCCTAGCAGAGGGACAGACATTCACATTAATGAAACTGAATTGAAAATCCAATTGGCAATGGGTTTTTGAATTTGAAATCAAAAGCAAAGGCAGCAAAAGTAAAAATATATAGATCGTGCCACATCATACTAAAATACTTCTGCACAATGGAGAAAACCATTAACAAAATAAAATTCAATCTACAGAATAGTAGAAAATATTTGCAAATTTTGTATTTGATATCCCAAATATAAAAAGAACTAATGCAACTTAATGGACCAAAATAAACCAATTTGTTTAAAAATGGGCAATGAGTCTGAATAGACAAAGGTACATGAGAAGATATTCAAGATTGCTAATCACCAGGGAAATGCAAATCAAAATCACAATAAATATAACCTCACACTTGTTAGAATGGCTATTATAAAAAAACACAAGGGGCCTCCCTGGTGGTACAGGGGTTAAGTCTCAGCACTATCAAGCTATCACCAGCCACTGCCACAAACATTTGATCCCTGGTCAGGGAGATGACCCAGACTGCGCAACAGACCTCTCCTGTACTGCCTGCCGCTCCCCTCAGCAGTATGTCTCAGTAGGTCCTCCTTTTCTGCTCCCTTCTCCGTCTCTACTCTCTAGTGAATCCTGTCACCCCACTTCTTCTATGCAAAAAAAAAAAAACCCACAAGAAATAACAAGTGTTGTTGAAGGTGTGGAGAAAAGGGAGCCCTTAGACACAGTTGGTGGGAAGCTATATTGGTGATGTCACTATGCAAAACAGTATGGAGGCTCATCAAAACTTAAAAAAAATACAATGCTACCTAGACTGTTTGGAGCTGGGAAAGGGCTGCCCCCACAGCCAAAGGTGAGCTGAAAAGCACCCACAAGCCTGGCCCCATCTGGCCACAAGTTGGAGCCCAGAGGGGGATCCAGGCACCATCGGGGTAGATTGCAGGCACAGGGAAGTGCCCGCCTGACTCACCATTTTAGACCAGGGATCTTTGTGTCCAGAACCCACCAAGACTGGGTGGAGCTGGGAAAGGGCTGCCACAACAGCCAGAGGTGAGCTGAAAAGCCCCTACCAGGCAGGCCCCATCTGGCAGCCAGTCCAAGCCCGGAGGGGGATCCAGTGATTTGGAGGCCACAACCAGGGCAGTCTATGTGACTGCAAGACCCACCTCTGGAATTAAACAAATACAGAAGGAGGAGATTTTCTGTGACAGCGACCACTAACATATTCATAGTACCACTGCATACTGGACTTCTGGCGTAACAGTTTTTGACTCGATTGGACCACCAGTTTCCAACATTCCAGAAAGAGCACACCAAAAAGATGCCAGCCAGTACAAGCAACACAGTGTTCTAACACAAAGGACAAATTAGAAAACAAGCAGTAGGGAGAAGAAAAACTACAAGCAACCAAGCAAGTCAAGGAAAAGTCACACCACAAAAAGAAAATTACCCACCAGAATGCAACAACAGTGACTTGGAAGAACTTCTGAGCCTTCCAGATAGAGAATTTAAAATTGCCATGATTAAAAAACTGAAAGAAGTCATAAAGGAAAACAATGATAAGGGTAAAATAATCAATGATCAGAAGAATGAAATTGAGTCCCTACAGAGGGAAGTGAAAGAAATGCAGGAGATCAAAGAATTAATGGAGGAGCTAAAGAACTCTGGTAAAAGCAGTGAAAGCAGAATAGATGAAATGGAAGAATGAATAAGTACTCTCAAAGACACAGAAATAAAAAAAACAAACAAAACAAAAAAGGAAAGAGAAATACGAAGGAAAAAGAATGAAGAAAAACTTTGGGAACTATTGGACTCCATTAGGAAAGGAAATATAAGAGTTAAAGGAATCCCAGAGGGAGAGGAGAGAGACATAGGA